GTTTTTCAAGGCGCTCTGAAATTTGTGATTTTTCTTAAAGGAATCACATGAAACAAAATTTTGCTCCTAACTTCTCTGAGTAGGTCTCACAATTCCATACACATTAACACATCTCTTAGGTGGAGGAGGGCCCTGCATGATTATGAACAGGGGAATCATCCTGCCATCTTCCACGCCAAGGTATGAGATATAATGCACTGCTAGGGCAAGCCCATGAGGTAGGCTGTTAGAGGAATCTCAAGAATACTGGATTGATTCCAGAAGGGGTGAGGGAATCACCCTTTTCTAACATTTTGGGCCAAAAATGTTAGAAAGATTATCTTACCTGAGCCTTTGATTTGATCTGAGCTCTGAGGAATCAACCATTTAAAGATTAAGCCAAGGAAAGGGTGCCAAAAACAGTCACAAATTTGGGAGGTACTCAACAGATGGAACTTGGCACAAAAATGGCTCTCTATATACTAAGTAGCTGATTCAGGAGAAATTTTAACTTAGATGAGTTTATTAAAATGTTGAATATCATCTCGAATAGGAGGATGGTTGATAGATTTAGGTCCACATATACATTTTAACTTCCTGATGATGTTGGATAGTATGAAAACTGTCCACATTTCTATAATTAAAAATAGACAGAGGAAGATATCTTTCTTCTTAGTGAAAGATATACCACCCCCCCCTTTTAACCTAAATATTGTGGAGAAAGGATTTGGGGAAGGAAAGAGTAAAACAAAAAGAAGTTGAATGATTTCTTTTGACATTGGTGAGACAATTATGATCATGGAACATTATACATTACAATTCAAACTGGTAACTGCCTTAGTGGTCACAGATTATGGCAGATCGAGACTATAATTACATACTAGGTGACTTTTAAAAATGATTTTGTAACTCAAAGAAGTTGCCAGAATTAAAAGGACCCCTGATCCTCTTTCACCACCACCACTACTAAAACCTGCTGAGAAACTGCTCTGCACAAATGCAGAATGCATGACAGGTGGCTTTTTATGTGAGGGATGAGTTCTTGAGGATCATTAGAATTCAAGACGAATTTCCCAAAAGAAATAAATGTAAAACATGGGGAGGGTATTTTCTTGAAGTATATAAATTTATCATCTTAGTAGAATAAGTAGCATTTTTCTTCAATGCTGCTTTGTATTTTCTCAGAACTGTCTTTCTAATGTTTTACAGAGTGCTCTCGATTTAACTCTAGAGTGTATAATTTTAGGTGACTTTTGGCTCTCTTCATTGTGTTTTATCGTCTGCCACATTTGCTCTAAAGTTATCAGGTTTCTAATTGTTTTTCAGCATTTGCATGGTTCCACAGATGGCTAATGAAAAACTCGACACTGTGATAGGATATCAAAGTACTTAAAAATATAAGGAGAGTCAATATGGTGATAACTGTTCATTATAACCAAAAATCTTCTTTAAAATATCTAATATATTTAAACAGTATGGCTCATGTGATATAAAGGCTGTTGGTACTATTTCTATCAACAGCTGAAGTAAAGCTGCCATGTACAGTCTACAATTAACCTACGTTTTTTTAAGTTTGGAAGACTATTTTTTGTCTTTTACTTAGAGAAATTCTTTATTAATATTTTTCATATCATACTATATACAAAGACATATCATTCAAATTTACTTAAAATATTACAGCAATATACTAAGGTAACAATGTTCTCATTTAAAAACTTTTAGTTACTGGCTAACAGTAATTGGTTTAGAAATTAAATATGATTAGAATAAGATCTGAATTCTTAAAAAAAAGTCAGAAAGTTTATCATTGGCTTCTTCTCAAAAACCAAACTGATAAACATTCTTAAAAACTGCTTTGTCTTTTCACCTTGAAGCCTATCCCAATACATAAAAAGGCTTTAATCTTCAAGTATTGATGTGTAAGAGAACTAACTACAAGCAGTACCATGCATTTAACATGAAAATAATATAGGCTATCTTCAGGGTTTCTTGGTCATGAGAACTTCCTTCTCAGACTCCTAAAAATATTTCCAGTAGTAGAGAATTTAATGGACGTGGTTGATGGGAACAAGCAGCATGTGGCAATTTATCACTCCCACAGAAATCTTTTCTTTTACAGTGATCTAACCTCTTAGGCTCTTTATTAGAAAAGCAAAAAAGAAAAAAAAAATTTAAGAGTTGTGAACCAGCCCTTCCCTGCTGTTATCACTAGAGAATCTTGAGAAAGAAGAAAAGAAAAAAACTATATCATAACATTACCCTGGAACATGATGGAAGTAATGAGGCATCAAGGCCACTTACTGCTGAAAACATAATTGGCACATAAACACAGGAGATGCTTGGTGATGGGAAAGACTTCTTTGTTTCAGAAACAGAGGGATGTCAACAAATTATGACCCTTCTGTTGTTTGGCGTGGCAATTCTAAGAGTAAAATGGATATTTTCCTTCCAAATAATGTACCCGTAGAGGAAAGGGATTACTGCAGTGTTTACTAGTCTAGTAGCTTTAAGTGTTTTCAACTAATGTGAATAAACGATGAAGGAAGGTCAAAGGAATAGAAAGCAGGCCACTTGGCAATGAAGGAAAAGCTTGGATTTTAGACCTCAAGGTATCTCACACGTGATAAAGATCCAGCGGACACTTAGAGATCCTTGTGGACTTCCTAGAGAACCCCTTGGGAACTCATTCATAAGTCTAAAGAAAGATAATACAGTTATCTTGGGTACAATCCCCTTCAGTTATAGGCAGAAAGACTCTACAATTCTTGAGGAGGAAGAAATTATTAAATTTTTTAAAAATTCTGGAACTCTATGTCCAACTACTTTAATGTGAAAGTCATCATGAGAAAGAATTTCAAACTTTCTTGGGTTTTCTTTACAATTTTTTTTGTTGTTGTACTAAGTGTTCAGCTGGTGTACAGGTTTGAGATCTTTGGTTTTATAATTATTTTTTTTGGAAACCTTTATTCTTTCCTCTCAAACATTTTGAGTCAGCATACATTATGCCACTACACACACAGCCAAGCAATAATTCATCTTTGAGAAGTCAGAGACATCTCATGTATTAATTAGCAAGCCTTTCAGTAACTAGTGGATGGAAATAGGTTCCAACCGCTACTCAAACACAGCCAGTGATTTCCAGGAAGAAGAATATAAAGTCAATTACAAAGAATTTCTTACCCAATTTGTGTCCAGCCAATGAATGGACTTTGCTTTCATCTGGCACTGAGAAGAAATAAAAAAAGGCAAGGATCAGCCTGCTTACTTGTAAATCAGCCATTTTTTGAACAATAAATTAATACAGATTCATAATAAGTTAAATCTTTTACCAGCAAAGATTTGAGAAAAAACTTCCTCCAGCCTACCTGGGGCAACTGATTTTTTTTTTTTTTTTGGCAGATATTTTAAAGACAACTGTGAAGAAATATATATTTATTAGATTTCTATAAATATAATTTCATTTTCAATATCTTCAGTTCTTTTAACTGGGTTATTGTTTCCATGCCTGCAAAAGGAAAAACTAAACTCATGGGCCAAGAGATATATAATATATAATAAAGCTCTTTGAGTATAATAGCAATATATACATTCAATATTCAAGGGCTTAATGTCTGTATCTGGTAAACATGGAGTAAAAGAGAACAGATTCATGTCCCCCCTCTCCCTCCAATTTTAAACAGACAAAAACTGAAACAATGGCATTTAAGAGATTAGACATCAGGAAAAAGAGGACAGGGACTCCTGAGAGATGGAAAACAAGTGAGGTGAATCCTACAATTGTTCCAGTTTATTGTCTGGAGAGTTTCCAGGCTGTGGTGCAGGGAGAGGAGCATAGGCAGAGCCCAGTAATATCCCAGCTTGAGGACATGCAGCTGGATGTCCAGAGAAGCCAAAGCAAATGGAGTCTGTAGGGCAGAGAACTGGAGAGGAGAGAGCTGTACAGAAATCTTTCTAAGATCTCCAAAGAAGCCATTCATGTAGTTAGTTGAATTCTGATGATCACATGCACATGAGGAAAACTACCCAAGACCTGGCAAAGAACCCCCTAACAGTGGGAAGGGAACAGTGTCCAAAGTTTACACATGGCTGGGACTAGGAGCCATTCCCAAAAGGCAGAGTGAAAAACTTCATAATTCAGGGGCACTGGTTAGAGGATAAAGAAGGACCTTGCTTCAGTAGTGGGGAAAAATTTAACTCTAGATTAACACAGCTCTGATGAAATAGATAAGTTTTTGAAAGACACAAATTACCAAAGCTTATACTTGAAGGAATAGATAATTTGAATAGCCCTATAGTTTTTTTATTTTTATTTTTTAAATGTATTTGTGCTTAAAACTTTCCTACAAAGAAAACTCTAGACCAGATGGCTTCACTGCTCAATTCTACCAAACATTTAAGGAAGAAATAATACCAATTCTACAGAAATTCTTCCAGAAAATTCAGAGGAAGGAATATTTCCTAACTCATTCTATGAGGCTAGTGTTACCCTGATACTAATATCAGGCAAAGACATTATATGAATGATATTAACCAATATCTCTCATGAACATAGGTACAAAGTTCTTAACCCTTAAGCATCTCTGCCTAGATTATCACTTCAATATTCAATAACTGCTGCTCATTATCCACCTTGTGCTGTGGTGCCGCAGGACTGAAGCGAGGCAATGGGAATTTTGCTAACGAGGACTTCCTCCGTTTCCTCTAACACTCGATTGGGGCCAGAGTAATATGCCCTCCTTTCTTTGCCTACCACATCCAGTCATATTTCATTGACCATGTTACTATACACAGATCTTTCCATTCCAACTTAGCTCTCCTTTTCTAAGCTTTTTTTTTTTTTTCTAGATAAAAATACTACATGTTTCTAATTTTCTTGGTATTAATGGCCTAAAAACCTGATTAGAGTTTTCTTTGTATTTCCAGTTGGAGATATCAGTTTGTACTTATTAGGCTCCATTTGTAGGCCAAATTCTGTCCTTCTCAAGTCTAAAAAAAACCTTACGGTGGAATCTACAGTATAACTAGAAAAATACTGGAAAACAATCATAATTATAAAAAATAATAGCAGTTGCTAATACTTAGTGAGTTGCTGTAATATGCAGATTCTGTCCAATGCATTTAATATCTAATTTGACACTTACTCCTCACAATGATGTGTAAAGATAGATATTATCCTCACTATTGTCCTTACTTTATAGACAAAGTGAGGTATACCTCTTAAACGGAGGATAGGATTCAGAACTTAACCACTCTACTATTAATGAGTCATAGAAGAGTTGTTATATTTTTTGAATAATCATTAATATAAAGTAATACTTGACAAACACCTATATATTAGAAAGCTATTATACTTTTTATTTGAATATATGTTATTAACAGAAATCTTCCTGTGATGACCAATATCAAGAGTTAGCTATAATTTTATTTAACATGTTTGGAAATCTACAGTTCTAATGGATTCAAGCTAAAATGAAATATTCATTCCCATTTCACAGATGAGAAATCATTGCTCTGAGTTAAAATCTTGACTTAGAAATTTACTAGTGATATGCAATTTATTTTAACTTTCTGTGACTCAGTTTCATCATATATGAAATGAGGATAATATTGCTTACTCCATAGGTTTGTAATCAAAATTATAAGTTTATGAAAAGTACTTAGAAAATCATATAGTAAGTGCTTAAGAAATATTAGCTATTGTCATCATTCTTAATCAGAAACTAGAGAAAAGCAGAACAACACAATAGCTAATAATGAGATAGATGTGATATGAATCCTAGCTTTACCAGGCAGTTTACAAAACTCTTTTTAACCTTAGTTTCCCCATGTGAAAAATGAAACAAAAATACTACACAGGAAGTTGTGGCAACAAAATGAAGAAAATGTACAAAAGCACTTAGCACAGTGCCAGCTACAAATTTCTCAATAAAGAACAACTTTTGATCAATGGAAACTGTGAGTGGTAAAGGCTGTGAATTTGATGATGGTGGTGGTCTCTATGATTTAACTTGCCTGGAATTATAGAAGACTAGAGGGAGAAATCAATTAGGAGTATACTTTGCTTCAGAGAGGGCACTAGGTACTTTCAAGTGTTATCTCCTGGATAATGCAACACCCACAGCAGGTTTCACCTCCCAGTTTACTTGGTTCGTAGTTCATCTTGTAGTAGAAGAAAAGTAAAGAAAATACAGTACTCAGATTATATGGTTTTATAGGTACAGTTATTCTGAAAAAGGGATTCATACAAAGGTAGGGTTTTTTTGGTCTGTTTTATTTTTTTTAACGGACATAAGTTATCCCATTAAATCTAAGCCAATTTAAGAACTGCAAATTTCCCAGCCATATTTCGTTAAAAATGGTACTTTCTTAACTTTTTGGCTGCATACTGTCTATTATTCTTACTAGGAATATTTATTATTTTAATTGACAATTTGAAATTCTTTAGAACACTAACATAAACTATTTCAAGAAACAGTAGAAAATCCAAACGTGTGATAGGCATAAAAATTAGGGGTTTTTCTCCAAAATATTCACTGACACAAATGTCTATCTTTAGGACAGAAGATAAATGAATAAACATAATAGAAAAGAGAGGGAACTGTAATGACTTAATTAATAGAATACATTTTATTTAAAAGGTTAAATTGGGAACAATCATCTTTTATGCACATGCTTAGAGCTGGAAAGCGATTTAAATAACAGTAGCAAAGGAGAAAATGAGGTAAAATTATACACACCATCAACACTTTAAAAAAAATGACAAGTGTTATAATTAATACTCAACTTCCTTTACAACTCACATTACTTTAGAGCTACTATAAACTTATCTCTTGGGGATGGAGCTTAAGTCTAGTCATTTTACTACATAATATTCAGATAGCACAGCAATTGGAACAGTAGCAATATGACTATGAGAGGCGTGTCATTTCAGACAAAGACCTTATTTACAAGAGATTGAAAATGAGTGGGCCAGACGTGGGGAAGGTCTTTCATTCCAAAATGGTGAGGTACCAAGAACATCAAGTAAAAGACTATTGACGGAACAAGAGCCAAAATTTCTTATTCTAGTTCTGATAAAAGATTTTCCTTTTTTCTTTTGTAAGTTTCCAGAGCCTCTTATATTCCTTTTCTTATCCTTCGGTTTTACCCAAGGACTGGTACTACTTGCTCTTGCTTATCTTAAAAGGATGTTACAGTTAATTGAGGAGATATCAGTAACATGTTGAGTCCTTCTGAAGATGAAATTCATAGACTTTTTTTATTTTAACTGCTATTAAATACTTAGAGGGCACTGTAGACCTGCCTCTCTTAAGATTTCTCTAGATTTATTAAGATAATGGTATTTCTATACTAAGCTCATGCTTCCTGGCATTCAGTTCAAGATCGATGGACACTACGTGATTTAATTACTGCAAGGCGCTTCATAAGGAGGACACCCTGGTTTGGGTGTCTGTTAGTTTCGTGGGCCGTCCTCTGATTCAAGAAGACTTGCTCAGGGAACACAGCAGCCGGCCTTCCCGTGTTTCTGCTTCTCTTGGTTCTAGGCCTTAGAGCTAATTAGATCTGCTCAATACCAGTGGCACCTTTTGCAAAAACATGGAAAAATATACATTTTCTTTTCATTTCAAGTAGGCTTACTGTATGGAAGATAAACCATAAATAAAGAAAGTATTGGGAGGGGGGATCTGTGAAAAAGATGGCACTCTGTGAGCTTATTTGTGGCAAACATTGAAGTGCATATAATACTTAAACATATTGGCTTCCCAGTAGGATACATTCATATTAATACAGTGATCACTTAAAGTGTTTTATTCTTTTGTCAAGCCTTCCTACACACTCGAAATGCATTCTCACTGGGGGAAAATAATCCCCCCTCGCTTATTGATAGCATTTGACATGCATTCTATAACATAAGTGACTATTAGGGACTGCACTTGCTTAATAAAAATTTGCAGAACAGTGGCAGATTTGGTGAGTTAATAGGCCCCATATGCTCTTCTTATGCTGACAGAAGATAGTAGATTACTAACATGCACAAATCTCTTCAGATAAAAACTGCTATCAGCTACAGATATTCTTTTTGAGAATGCCAACCCCATGTCACAAATGGGAAATATGCAGATGTGTTCAGATTTCCACTACTTCACATTGAGATATTTTGATACAAAGCAGCACTTTAAAATATGATGCAATGCTTGCCTTTAACACAGACAGCTCTATTTCAT